TGTGTGTGTGTGTGTGTGTGTGTGTGTGTGTGTGTGTGTGTGTGTGTGTGTGTGTGTGTGTGTGTGTGTGTGTGTGTGTGTACAGCAGAAAACACTGATAACAACACTCATTACGATTATTTTGGCACTGATAAATGCTTAAATATTTCCAGAGTGAATTGGAAAACAGGGGATCCCTTACCGACACATTCGTTGGCTTCTCTAACCGTGGCGCGCTGCCAGGGTCGGTCGTAGTGGAAAGGTTTGCACCTGTCGCACTCCGGTCCCGCCGTGTTGTGTTTGCACTCGCAAACCAGATTCCCCTCTCTGTCCTTGACGCACTTTGAAGCGTGCCCGTTGCACTTGCACCGTCCTCCGACCTGCAGGTCCGACACTGCGTAAAAGTAGGAATCGCGGGCTAGCTCGGAGTCGTCCTCGTTCTCGTCTCCGAACGTGTGAAGCCGGCTGAAAATCACCTTGATGTCCGTGGCTGTCACCCAGTCCTGAAGCACCGGAGAGTTATCGAAGTCGTGTGCCGACGGTCTGCCGTCCAGCGTGCTGAAGGCTATGAGCCCACCTGTCAGCGGGTGCATGTCTGTGTGGGAGTCCGTGCAGATCGCCTCTTGCTCGTTCTGCTTCGTAATTGCTGCCCTGTTCTGCCGGTTGTACATCTTCTTGCACTGAGTGGAATAAAACTGAAAAGGTACCCACGATTTGCCATAGTCCATGGACTTGTAGATCGCCATGGACTCGGGTCTGGGCGAGCAGAACTGCAGGCTCACATAGGTGACCTCAAACTTTTTACCCAAGGACAAGGTGAGAGTGACGTTCTGCGGATACTGCACATAGTTTTCAGACTGCCAGCAGGTGAGGTTGTGAGGGTTGTTGAGGTCTGTCAAATAGGCAGGTGGATGGGACTTTTTGGGATCTCCGGAGTCGCACGTGTGACAGTCCCTACTCCTCTCCTCTCCTTTTTCGGTCACCACGCAGTAGCGGGCGGCCGGAGTGCCGCAGGTGCTGGACACGCGCACGTCCTTCCCAAAAGCAGAGTTGACAAAGTCGGGGATGCATCTCCGAGGATTCCCGTTCTCGTCATAGCACGGGTCCGGAGGGGAAGACTGTGCAGCAAACATGCTGAACCCGTATCCCCCAAAGACACATTTGGTAAGCGCAGAAACTGTCACCAAGGTGACCCAAACCTCCAAAATCCTTTGCATTGTAATCCGTGAGTCGTAGGGGGTGGGTTTGCGCTGAAATGCGACGAGGACAAGATAATCAGTTAGCAGCGCTGCAGTCAGGTATTAAGAAGAAAACAAGACAGCTATTAAACAATAAATAACGCTCACGACGAAATTAGAGAGTGGGTTAGGACGCAAACAAATGCATGAAAAGAAATAAATGTGTATAAAATATTCTTACAGGGCCAAGAAAACTCCACCTAGACCACTACCTCCAAATATACAGCTCAGCCTGAAAGTGCAGGAGAACTCCAAAGAATTTGGAGAAACAGCCTATCCGATTTAATCCGAAACTACTGCTATAGTTATACTTCCCCCCCTCTTTAAAAAACCCAGAATAAAACCAAGATATGGCAAATGCCCAGCTGGCTCTGACCCTCCTTCTGCCTCTGCCTGTCCACTCAGTCACACCTCTGCCCACCTCTATCTCCTTCTGTCCCATTCCCTCTCTGTTATAATAGAAAAAAGGGGGCTCCGCTCATTCAGTCAGGAGTCGGAGCTTTTTTTTTTTTGCTTTTTTCTTTTTTAATGTCTCGACGTCGTAGATGGAGCAGCGACATCGTCCGACATATTCCGTGAACTACAAGCTTAAAAAGCAAACTCGAAATGAAACTTAAGAGTCATGCAGTCATTTGATTTTTTCAGCTACCTCTCTCTCTTTAATCAACAGTGTATGTATGTGTTATTTAACTAAGATACAATAAAAAAAAACACGTCTAAGATACCATCAATGACCACCGTGGTTTCATCGCTGGTCTTTAAACCACATCCTTATCTTCACGCACAGGAAATCAGCTGCACGTTTGCAGCCCCAGTAAGCTGCAAGTAGCAAGACACAACCTTCCTTTTCATGTCGTTATTGTCTAATGTGCCAGCAAGGGAGTGATGCAACATTGCCTAACAGGCACACTGTACATTAAAAAAAAATCATCTGAAGTGTCGTCTCAATGAGATAATGAAATATTACATATAAACAGCTTAAAGCCATCTTTTTTTTTATCATAAGTTTTTTATCATAAGGTTAAAAAAAGTTAACTTTTGTTAACCTTGTCTTCAGTTTTAATTGGGATTGTTATTTTTGGATTCCATTTATTTTATTTATTTGAACAAGGTTGTAAAGTCAGATAAAGTAAGTGTTGTGAAAATATGAACGAGTACTTAGAATGTCTTGATACATGCTCAGTCATCCAGGTATAACGAAATCCTTTGAAGGGAAAGAGCATCTTTGAATCAAGGAGGGGGGCTAAGGATACGTCTTTCACCATCTTACAAAGCTGTGATTGGAGCCATTCCCCATCTCTCTGTAAATTGTACGCACCATGACAATTTAGATATTGAAAATGATCTCATGGCCCATCATTCCCCAGTTGGGGAAACCTCTGGTGTTGGAAACTGAAGGAGTCACACACAAGTGGATGAAATGGATTAGGGATAGGGACTATAAATATATATAGTATTATATATGTGTGTGTGTGTGTGTGTGTGTGTGTGTGTGTGTGTGTGTGTGTGTGTGTGTGTGTGTGTGTGTGTGTGTGTGTGTGTCTTTTTTTTTAACCATTGTTTATTTTTGGTAACTTGTAGATAAAAGTTTACTCTGATTAATGTTTTTAGAAATTGCTGGGTTGTTGATAGGAAAGGGGAAGCTGATAAATGTTTCAGAATTGCAACACTCTTTTGGGTGTTTACGTATGCTGTGATAATGTTAGGTAAAAGAGGAAACATCACAAAACAAAAGCAAATGTAGCACATTGAGCATCACTACTGATACACAAAGCAACAATAAGTTACACTCAGCAGTTTATTTCTTACATTGTGCTAATATTGCGTTGGACTACCTTTTGTCTTCAGAGCTGCCTTAATTCTTAACGGCAGAGACTGATAAAGGTCGTGGAAATATTTGCTAAAAGGGTTTGTTCTGTATTGACATGACAGCATCATGCAACTGCTGCAGATTTGCATGTGCATCATCTGTTAAAGCACATCCCAGTGGCGCTATATTGGATTGAGATCTGATGACTGTGGAGGAAAATTGTGCACCGTGAACTCACTGTCATGTCCAAGAAACCACTGATATAAGGTTCTTTATCCTGCTGGAAGCAGCCAGAGAAGATATGAACAATGTGGTCATAAGACAGTGGATAAGGTCAGCAACAATACTCAGGTGCTGTGGTTTTACATGACGCTCCGTTGGTACACAAAGTGTGCCAAGAAAATATTCCTCCCACCATTACACCACCTGGATGGATCCATGCTTTTATGTTGTTTACTCCAAATTCTGACCATACTATTTGAATATTACAGCAGTAAGAGACTCATCAAACCAGGCAGTGTTTTTTCAGTTGACTAATTTAGGTGAGTGCATGCAAACTGTAGCCTCAGTTTCATTTTCTTAGCTATTAGGAGTGGTGCCCAGCGTGGTCTTCTACCGCTGTATCCCGCTTCTCTTTGGGGAGCACTGGCAACCCCCTAAAATTTGCTGTCCACCCAGTGCCTCCCCTGACAAGACTGTCCTATGTTGGTAATACCTGTGTATTAAACATGAGTACAAGAGAGGAAGACACCCTACAATGAGTTGAAACATGAACTTGTTAACTTAAATAGGTTATTATGGATCTCAGAATCTTATTTGGTTTTCATATGAACCCACTTTCAGCGATATCAACTTTAATAGCAGGAAATTAACCAGGCACATAATTATTTTCTTCTTATTATGTTTTTTAAAAGGAAAAACAGATCAGTGACAACTTCAGCTCACCTCTCTTTGGTTTAAGCATCTAATGGGTTTACTGTATTTGCCTGAAACCGCCAAAGCTAATTGTGCATCTAGAAGGATTCAAAATCTACTTAACTGACATCCTACCTCACTTTATCTTCCCTTTATTCTACTCACACAATGCACTAGAGGGAACTAGAGTCCTGCACTCAGAGCACAGAGAAGATGCACACATCTAGTTCCCTCTGACACTCACTGAATTATACCATGTGAACAGGCATTTACCAGTAATGGCATAAATATGTTTCCTACTAAAGGGTTTTCTTACCAGAAAGAGTAGCTAACATCTCTTGGTGTCATCAGAAAACTGACTGATCCTTTCATTTACCAGAGACTGTTCAAACTGGCCATTCGCTGCCACTTACTACCTAAAACAGCTTTCCTAACTGCTGTATGTGCACTGCTTACACTCACATAGGCCATCCAAAGAGGCTTTGGCATGCTGTGGAGTCTGTGTTCAGAAATTTATATGAAATTTTTGTGATTGATTTCTCTATGTAAGGGACTAAGAACCCCAGTTTTTATCGCCTTGTCTCTGGGGACTGACACATTTGATCACAACAGTCTAGACGTTTATGGCACAATGTTGTGAACAACTTTAGTCAAATGAGGTCTGTCTTTAAAAAAAGACTCCTCCTACTGCTTCAGCACAATGTCTTGTGTAAACTACTTCAGCATAAAGACTCATCAAGTTCCTGTTTTGCAGCACATGCTCTCTTAGCTGTGCAGTTGGAGGGTCTATTTTTGAAAAGCACCAACACAGGAGGATGTGGTCTCTGTATTGTTTCCCTTCGTTGGCGTTTCTCAGTTGTGGTACATCTGGGATGATCTAGGACACAGATTACAGTGCTCACTGGTAAGATTTATCTCGCTTTGCTGGTTGTCTCTAATTTTATGCGCATTAAAAACATTTAAGCAGCAACTTGCATGTGCATCTCTGCTCATATCAGGCTGTCTGTAGCTCGTTTTAGAACGAGCATCTATCACCCAGCTTATAAGAGACCTAACTGCAAACTTTAATTCAACCTCTGCAGATTTCCTGTTCCTCTTCTTTTGTTGAAAGCTGTTGATGTAACCTGGCTGTCACGCCATAAAAATACATTTGATTGGCTTAAAGTGCAGCAATCCTATTGTGTCAAGTTCCCATCAAATAATGGTATTTTTTTTTTTTTTTTTGCATTGTGGCACGTCATGTTTACATGGCAGGCCTGAACAATATAGCCTGAAAGCATACAATGGATTAACACCTGCTTCCTCAGTGGACAATTGATGGACTTGCTCGCTGCTACGGGATATGCCAGGTAGCTGCTGCAAACAAATACTTCCAGCATATCCTTGTTGGTCATGTACTATGCCCAGATGTAGTTATTTCGTGCCCTGCAGCTTTAGATTTTAAGCTTGAACTACGACTACGAAGCCACAGCGTGACTAAAAGTCATTGTCTGTGTCAGTGACTTGTTTCATGTTCCGCTTTAATTCCTGTTTTTCTGTATCCTCTGTTATGGTCGTTCCCAAGTAGAGGATGTGTTTGTGTGTGTCTTCATGTACACAAACACATTACACAAAGTTTGAAATCCTTACCTATAACAAATACCGTAGGCAGCTGAAAGTAAGGGATATGTGGCTGAAACATCTCATTAGACTGGTGATGTTGGTGAAAGGTTAGCTGAGTTCATCTGACCATGGAAGCAAGCCCCTTAAAAAAATAAAAGTTCGGCGTCACCACTATGTTGCAATACTGTGAACGCTCTGCATGTCTACCCATGTCTAAAGAGAGTAGTTCCATTTTTCTTTTAAAATTTCAACTGGACTCTTTATCCACATTTCAAGCTACATATTTTTGATTGTTGCTGAACTCTTTGGATAATTTGCTATTCAAAATAATGCCTACATATTTTACACTGGGCCTGCTGTCTAAAACAAGCTGTTGTTAATCTTCTTCCCCTTCCTTTAAGCTAATTGTCTTCTCATTGACTGCCTCTGGTAAACAAGTTTGGACAGCAGGTGGGCGGGGCTGTTGCGCCTGAGATAACCATATAAGGGATATCCTATCTCAGTGGCATCATATGAAGCTGAGACAAGAAAAAAATGCTGGAAAACACATGTTTGGAGCAGTCTGAAGCCTTGAAACGTTTTGCTCACATTATTTCATTAGGCATGCTTAATATGAGCATCGACAATATATATATAAATGACACAAGAGGTTCCCTTTAATTTACACTGTGTGCCTCAGAGAGGCCTTTTCCCGTTTTGATTGGTTGAGATTAGCCCATTTTTCCAGTTACAGCTTCCTTAGAAAAAGTACCAGGGGAAATATTCCTTCTCATCCATGTCAAAGGGTGTGATCTGAGTTTAAGTAAATACTGCAGCAAACCATGTCTCAGGGGAATCTGCTCATGCTGCTACCTACTTCACTGTGCGCTTTTTATTGCAGCTAAATGTGTGAATGCCCAAACCACAGGTGCATGTAAGTGAATTCCAGCAATTCTTTTTTCCTGTGCGACCATGTTTACTTCAAAGTCACACATTTGCTTGATTTAGGACTAAAGAGGCTCAAATAGGAAGTTGTCCGTTTGTAAGTCATTTCCAACTTGCTTGTGAGTCACATGAATGTGGTGTCACCAGCTGATTTTAAGAATGAAAAAGTAGAAGTTGTTGAGC